TTTATATATTAGATGGGTGTTCAAGAGAACTAACTCACACTTTGTTGAGCTACTTAAAGCTCTACTATTTAGCATTTCGATAGTACAATCCCCGTCTCAAGAGATGTGAAGATTCACTTGTTTAGACGCAGTAGCGTTCCAATTTAGAGAGGATAAAACAGAAAGAAAACCCATTTAATATATACAATTAATGTGACATATTGCACTATTATTAGATTTTTTTTCTGTTTCTGAGGATTCTTTATTGAACATCTACTATTGAACATCTACTACTGTACCCAAATATATATATTAAGGGTACCTTAAAAACTGTGTTTAATTTTGTTTTTAGGCCTATTGTTTTTTGGTATTGCTTTTTTATATGAGGTTTTTGGCAATGCTTATTGATTTATTGCTGCCATTCACCATATATTATAGAGAGCGCCTAGATCCTTTTATTTTTACATCATTTATCAAAACCTAGCTTGTGAGCAAGCCCTATATGAGTCGACTTGGAAAATTGTTTAGAAATACCTAATTTTGAAATATGCCTCTCCATTACTTGCAAAATACTGCTTTATTTTATGTCAGTGAATACTAGAATAGACATCTCAAAATATAGAATTCTCTGATACACTGCAGAATTTCTGGTGGCACCATTAATGGTGCAATGTCCATGTCCTGAAAGAGAAAAGCAAGAGAGTGACCAAATTATTGCAAGCCCACAGCCATTCTTCTCCATAGACATCATCTCATTGGCAACAAATAGAGGACCTATCTTTTTTTTCTGTGAAACAATAATTATAATAACGTAGCTGATAAAATTTCACAGTTACAAAAGGTCTAAAGTGAACTTGATGGGGTATTGATCGTGTGATATTTCATGCAATATTTCAACATACTTGGCAATAATAAGGGTAGTTTAAAATAAGAGGCTTTATAGCTTGTGAAATTTGGCCAATTTGTCTCCTGGGAGCAAAGATGATCCATCAAGTATTGAGAAATACCTCCCTCGTTACTGTCAGGCTCCCGCGGGCGGCTGCGAGGGGAGGCTGCACTCCGCTCGCAGTACTCACCCTCCAGCCGTCCGCGGTCCCCTCCGCCTCGTGGGTACGGCGAGCGGCATCCTTCCAGCCTCGGATGCCGCCCGCCGTTCCCTCCACGTCCCCCAGCGGCAGCATGCATGACGCTGCACGCTGGGAGACCGCCCAGGTTTATACGCGCCGGGGTCAGTCACCTGACCCGGCGTTAAAGGCAAAGTGCCACAATCACAGTGGGAGGTCTAAATATCTCCCACGTGTGATTGTTAATTCTGATTGGAAATTATCCAATCAGAATTAACCTTATGGTTTAAATACTTACCTTTCCTGTTCCTCCCTGCCCTGTTGTGGTCTTTGCTTGCTAGTATTGCTACTTACCTTTTGCTTCTGGTTATGTACTCTCTGGCTTGTTTAACTGACTCTGTGACTTTCTCCTACCCTTTGACCTCGGCTCGTTTCACGTTATTCTGTCTTCTGGTTCCCCTTACTCGGCTTGTTTTCTGACTATTCTGTGTGTGCTTAGCCCGGCCACTCTAAGGTCCGGTACGGCACCTTTTGTGTGTGTGTGTGTGTGTGTGTGCCAGCGTGTTGGGTTCCCAGAATCGTGACATTACAACAGGGCCATAATGGAACCTGCTGACATACCACAGCTCCTAGTTAATCAAGAGGCTAGAATGGATGGCTTGGACCACCGTATGGATCAGTTTGCTCAAGCTTTGCAAAGCATTCTGGCTCGTACTGCACACTTGCAACCTGCCGTTCAGGAGGTTGCTGCTGCTGTGCCCGAACCCATTCCCACTCCAGTACCTGTTCCCGCTCATGTAGTTCACATGACGCCGCCACAGCGCTACAGTGGTGACCCAGCATTGTGTCGTGGTTTCCTCAACCAAATTGACATCCATTTGGTGATGAATCCACGCTCCTATCCCACTGACAGATCTAAAATTGCCTTTTTGATAAACCACTTGTCCGGGAGAGCTTTAGCATGGGCCAACCCCATTTGGGAAAATACATCTCCTATGTCCTTTGCAGATTTTCTGACAGCTTTCAGACGCACGTTTGATCAACCCGGTAGGGTTGCTTCTGCTGGCAAGGCTCTGCTTAGGGTCCGACAGGGTAACAGGTCTGTAGCAGATTACACTATCGAATTTCGTACTCTAGCAGCTGAAGTGGTTTGGAATAATGACGCCCTCGTAACAGCCTTTCAGGAGGGTCTGGCCGCTTATATACTGGATGAAATAGCATCCAGGGAATTACCTGCTCTTCTAGATGATGTTATAGACTATGTGATTCTTATAGATAACCGTATTAGAGAGAGGCGTAGCCAAAGACGGTTGGATACACGGGTGTTACCTGCTCTACCCAGTACTTCCCTGCTAGCGTTACCCGCTCCTGTGCAACCATCCCCTGAACCCATGCAGTTGGGTGCTACGGGGTTAACTGAGGCCGAAAGAGCGTACCGTAGAAGGGAAGGGGTTATGCCTTTATTGTGGGAAGAGGGGGCATCACTGTAAAGCCTGCCCTAAAGTACAGGGAAACTGCAGCACCTAAGGCCTAGAGAGGGGTCGGCCTCGGGTGTTATGATCTTGTCCCCTCATAAGTCCATCTCTAGACCGTTTATTACGGTTTCTCTCTTGGTCAATAAAACCACTATAACAACCAAAGCCCTGATCGATTCGGGTGCGGCAGACAACCTTATGGATGAGACCTTTGCCAAAACCGCAGCCCTGAATTTGATCCGAAAGGAGACACCCTTGGCCGTTGAGGCCATAGATGGTAGACCACTGGAGAAACCTCTGGTGACCCATGAAACCCAGGAAATAGTTATGTCTGTGGGTGTTTTGCACAAGGAGAAGTTAACCTTCCAAATAATTGACTCCCCAACAGCCTCCATCGTTCTAGGTTTTCCCTGGTTAGTTAAACACAACCCTGTTCTTGATTGGGGTTGTTTAGACATACTCTCCTGGGGGGAATCTTGTCAGCGAGACTGTATGGCTCATGTACGTCCTGTCTGTTTACTTAACGTGCCCACGGCTAAACCACTCTCGGTTTCTGTTCCCTCTGTTTATGCAGACCTTGCCTTGGTTTTTGAAAAGAGGGAGGCAGATAAGCTACCTCCACATCGTGAGTATGATTGTGCCATAAACCTCTTACCGGGCACTATGCCTCCTAGGGGAAAGGTCTACCCTCTTTCTGAAAAAGAGAACCAGATCATGGAGGAGTACATACAGGAATCCCTAAGAAAAGGTTTTATTAGAAGGTCCTCCTCTCCTGCTGGTGCTGGTTTCTTTTTTGTGGCTAAGAAGGAGGGCGATTTGAGGCCATGTATAGACTACAGGGGTCTGAACAATATAACGGTTAAAAACGCCTACCCTATCCCCCTCATCACTGAGTTGTTTGATCGTGTTAAAGGTTCTAAATTCTTCACCAAATTAGACCTCAGGGGGGCTTATAACCTTGTCCGTATAAAGGAGAATGACGAGTGGAAGACAGCGTTCAACACACGCAGTGGGCATTACGAATATCTGGTCATGCCTTTTGGATTGTGTAATGCTCCTGCCGTGTTTCAGGACCTCATAAATGATGTCCTTAGGGATCTATTGCATGTCTGTGCTGTAGTGTACCTTGACGACATACTTGTGTATTCTCCTGATTTGAAGTCACACCATAACCATGTTAGGATGGTGCTCAAAAGGCTATTGCAGAACGGACTCTACTGTAAGTTAGAAAAATGTTTATTCGATCAGACCTCTGTGCAATTCCTAGGATATATCATTACTGAACAGGGTTTCAGTATGGATCCTGCTAAATTGGAAGCTATAATGTCCTGGCCACTTCCCCAAGGACTAAAGGCTATCCAGCGTTTTATAGGATTTGCCAACTATTATAGGAAATTTATAAAAAACTTTTCACCACTCATATCTCCCATAACGAAGTTGACAAAAAAAGGTCTACACCCTAGGGTTTGGACTCCTGAAGCCC